GTCTCATAAGAAAATGTGTGCTTATTTTTTATAGGGAATCTGAAGATACTGCCCTGTTATTACTTAAAGAAATTTATCGAACAATGAACATTAGTCCAGAACAGCCCCAGCATTGATTGGACCTCAGCTTCACTCTGTGAGTTTATCTTTATTGTGTGCATAAATTCTGAATGTTCCATTCTGAAGTGTTTTTTATGGCATTGATGTTGACCAACAATTTTCCCATTTTTGTTTTCTTTGAGTGTTTTTTATTTTATGTAAAAGTTAAGATTAGAGACAGCAAAGGAAGGGAATTAGTGTACAGTTTACACTTCTGACTTGTAACAATCTTCTTATTCTGCATAGAATTTGAGTTCTTTTAAGTGTCTTTTAAAAATAGATTCTCAGGAATATCAGCTAGGAATTTCTTTGGTTGTAGGTTAACAGAACCTAAGAGGTTTACTCAAACAAATGGAGGTTTAATTTTATTATGTAACAGGGAGGGTTCGTTTGTTGAGTGATGCCAACAGATGCCCAGATTGTTTGCATCTTATCACCTGCATGTTGGCTTCTGCTGCCTCATAGTTAGGAGGTGGCTGCTGTAGTTGCAAACATCACATCTATACTCAAGGCATGACTAAGGATGAAGGGCAGTATTGATTGTATCTGTCCCTTTTAATTAGGAAAGCAAAATCATGTCCAAGATTTACTCGTGTGTATTGACAAACTGTGTCACATGTCCCATGTCTCCCCACAATCCTAAACTGCACGGAAGATTGTACAAGTGATGTTTGAAGCATTTCCAGTCTTATAGAGGATAGGACTAGAGAAGGGGATTAAACATGACGAGCCAACCTACAAGTCAGCCATACTATATTCCTGACTGTCCTCCTGAGACACCTGACACATACCTCTTTTTCCTTACTAGATTATGCATCACTTTAAAAAATAGGTAATGTGTTTTTTACAAGTTAGAAGTTTTAAAGCCTTTGAAAGAGAAAAACACAAACTGTTGAGCTCTGAATTACTGAAGTCAAAAGTAGTCCCTGGCAATTTTTGGTTTTCTAATAATAAATTATAAGTTCAGCTTCTGCCTTATTTTGGAAAGGGGTATACTTTTAGTAGAATTTACTTAGAAATGTTCCTGTGCATATCCAGTCAACAGGAACCTCATTGACTACTAGAGGCCCGGTGCACAAATTCATGCACGGGTGGGATCCGGCCACAGGCAGTTTGTGGGCTGGCCCCACCCCTGATAGGGGTCGGAGGGGAGGATAGGCGGCGGGGCCGGCCAGGGGGAGCCACTGACGGTGGTTGGCCAGCCGGCCCTGCCCCCTGGTAGAACTCCCAGTTGAACTCCAGTCCAACTCCTGGTCGAGAGGACAATTTGCATATTAGCCTTTTATTATATAGGATAGTGCTCTGTACCTTGAGGTTTTCCATCAGCCATATTGCCTGCACAGCTTTCCACATTAGCTTGTGTACATCTTTTTCATTCTCTTTATTAGTTACATGGTAGTCCATTGGATGGCTATATCTCATCCTATTTAGCCAGTTACCTGTTAGTAGACATTTAAATCATTTTCTAATATATATTAGTATTAAGGAGTCTTAGTCAATAGAGTAGGAAAGAGATCTAAAAAGCCATTCTATAATCAGACGCTTGATAGTTTTAGCAGTTCTTGCCATTTCTGATAGTATAATGATAAAATAAACTAATTGTAATGTCAAGGTTATCACAGTCCAGATTTTCAATTATGAAATAGTCTTTCAGCTGCTCAACAAATATTTATTTAGTACCTACTATGTGCCAGGCACCAGTTTTCATGCTGGGGATAAGTGGTAAACAAGACTGCATTTTCATCTTAAGAAATTACAGCAGGT